AAACTTCATATTCTCTCACATTAGCTACTATATTTGTATTCATTACATCAAAAACATTGAATGTGCTTGTTTTTGCTGGTTCTACATTATTCAAAATCATATCAAGGACTACTAATCTTTGCCAAACAACGACTTTGGATGCATGGAATGTGTTTTTACCATCAAGAAAAGCATAACTTATGTCAATATTGTCGGTTGCATAATGAATAAACATCTCGGGAAACAGGCTGGGAGAAATAACAACACCATTTCCAGCATCTCGTCATTTTGCCAATATTCCATCATTTGTGATATGGTGACATAATTAAACTTAAATGGAACTAATCATGTGTATGTCTCACTCCCAGCAAGAGACCAATCTGAAAATCAAATGAAATACATCCACTATATGAGCTTGTAGTTTTCCTTGAATGATGATATAAGATTGATGGAAGAGTGTGGGATTTCAATTTCAGCTTTCTTTGCAATATTGAAGTAATAATGTTAAACATAAAATAGTTCCAAAATATGGCTTTGAATTACAACTTTCTTAATCCCATTTTTAAGTCAAAGCATTGCTATTTCAGTAATTTTGGTGACATTTTTCTTTTTCATCACAGACCTCGTAAATGGGATGTAACAAAATAGGTGATATTTGCCATTAGCAGCTATAAGGTCATTTATTTCACTTAAATTGACATTTAGTTTCTGGTTTAAGACATTTGTCTTCACTGTCTGTTCACTCATTTTGAATATATTTATTGTGATAAGTCTCTGTTTTGAGCACATTCTTGATAAAATATGCAGCAGTTCTGGTCCATAGGTTTCACAAAACTGGACTGTCTTGTATTGTTGACACTGATGTCTTTATTGGAATCATTATAGCTCGCCACACATGATGCACTTGCTTCTGTAAAGTCTGTACTTTGCCTTTTCTGGTGTATTGTGCATAGCAATGTTTGTATCACACGACTAAAACTGCATTTTCTGAATGAAATATGAACTCAGTTATGTTAATATCATTTCTGTATTGGACAGATTGCAGTTTCTTTCTAATTACTGTTGTCTCTTTTATTCTATGCAATCCTCGTTCATCTTCTCCACGCACATCTTTGTTACTTCATTCTTGGGAAGTAATACAAAAACAGTGGGAAATTGGCGTGAATTTCTTTAGGCTTATTACAAGACCCGTGTTTTACCTAAAACTATAATCACCATGAAGTTCATGAGTCATCACTACCTCATATAACTACTGTTGCTTGCTCTATTTGTAAGAAAATACCATCACTTCTATATGAATTATACTCTAACTACAAAGCGTTATATGCTATAAAACACAAATACTCAGCCTGCAAGAAAATTATTTTACGTATTACAGGAAAAATAAATTCTGTTTTATGATTAATTTATTTATAGCATTGGATTATATAGATGACTAAATGCTGTAAAAATTTGCACAACTGGTTGCAGTAGGTGTTAAAACAATGATACATATTTTCTCATTTATGTTATTTATAGGCTTACATCCTTCATTAAACCAAACAGTTTGATTCTGCTGCCAAGTTCATGCGCATATGTTCGTATATCAAATATTGCTGGTGTCCCCCAGTGTATCAGTGGTCAATTTACGGACTTACAATGCTACAATCTAGGGTTCGATTTCTTGTTATGGACATAACGTGGCTCGTCCATTGTGTAGCTTTGCGCATAAACAAAACATATCTCTATCCCTTACTGATGATTCATTTTGAGATTTTCATCTAGTCTAGATAGAAATTTCGAACTCAAAAGTGTACAATAAAAAATGGAACATTTATTCCATACACTTAAAAGTACGAAGAGCATATGTTAGATGATTTTTTAACTTCTGGATGTTAAGACTAGAGGAAGAGAAAGACGTCTACACGAGACGAAGACTGAAATCTGAAGTCAAATTATTAATATATCACACTGTACAGTACAATTGAGAGTTTATAGAGCAATATCCTGTAAGTTAGATTACCTACGTCAATAGTAATTCTTATTTTATATATTCAAAGGGAAATAAACTTCCAATCCAGACTAACTTGTATACATCTCAAAAACACCCGAAACTTTGGGTACGACCGGCACTTCACGAAAGTGATAATAGAGAAGCTACTCCAAACAAGTGTAAGAATTCATAGTGTGACTGCTGAGGTGTATTACCTTTGTCTAAGACAGAGAAATAGTGAAGGTTTGCTATCATTCACAAGCTGAATGTAAATATTTTCTAGTTATAGAATGGTGAAATATTACAGTGTTTGAACTGCAACAGGTGCAGGAGTCTTTTGATGATTGGCTATATAATCATTAATACACATAAAGAAAGACAGAAAGGCTAGGAGACAATGATTTGAGCATAGGTTCTTTGACAAGAGAAGAAGTTCCTTTCAAAATATTTCTTATCTGTTTTCCTTCTTATTCCGCGTTATTGCCCAAAACATTAAATTCAATGTATAACTTATATAACAATAACTTTGGTGAGATGCTAATATTGCATTCTAGTTTCTATTTCTAGTTCAATCTGAAAGTGATGAGTTTGAAATCAATGGCATTATAGAGAGGAAGAATAACACATTATTATTTTCCCACCCCTTTTTTAAATAAATTTTGACAATTTTGCTGTAAATTTTCACACAGATGATCTATCATTGAAACAACTTGTAATTTTTTCGTTGTCTTGTTGCACAAAAGTAATCAATATGGAACATTTCAAAACATTAACTTTATACTTCTGGGACGTTTGCAGTATATGCTTTGTAAGCTCTTAACTAAGAGGGAAAGGATAGGGGATTGATTACACAAGTATTTTCGTCTGTAACAGAAAACTAAAAGTTACAACTTACAGCGCTAGCTCTTAAACAGAAGATGAGTGCTCTACCATTACATCGAACAAGATAACTGCATTAATTCTGAGCTGGTTAAAAAAATTCGGAAGTTTAAAAAACGATAAGGCTCCTGGGCCAGATAATATTTTCCCAGAGGTTTTGAAGGAGGCTGAAGATTGAATATGTGAGCCACTTGCCACCATTTTTTGTCAGTCCTTGAATAGTGAGGAAGTACCAGAGGATTGGAAGTTAGCTAAATTAAATCGTCGTTTCAAGGAAGATGATAAAAATTGTCCCAGTAATTACAGACCCATGAGTCTTACATGGGAAAAGTTGTGGGAAAAGTTTTAGAAAGTCTGATAAAAGATGCTTTGCAAAGTTATTTAACAAAGTTTAAAATTTTATTTGATAGACAACATGGTTACACTAAAGGAAAATTTTGCCTTACAAATCTTTTGACATTCTTTGAAAAGGCCAATGCTTATATAGATGAGAGTAAAAGTGTAAATTTGGTGTATCTGGATTTTCAGAAAGCATTTGACAAGGTGCCACATAAAAGGCTTTTAAAAAACATTATCTCTATAGGTGCGGAGGATGAGTTAGCAAATTGGATGGAAGTGTGGCTGAATGTAAGAAAGCAGTGGGTTGTTACAAACGGAGTTACAAGTGAGGTACCTCAGGGCTAAGTCTTAGGATCTTTGCTCTTTTTGATTTACATTAATGATATAGATGAAAGAATGGTCAATAAATTAGTTAAATTTGCAGGTAATATTAAGGTCTTAGGTGTTGCTAGCTGTGAAGAGGATGCTGCTGATTCACAAAAGGATTTAGATAATTTTGTGAGTTGGGCAAGTAATGGCAAATGGGTTTTAATTATAATAAATGCAAGATAAGGCATGTGGGTTATTATAATTTGAATTATAAGTATAATTTGGATGGGAATAACCTTAACAGTTTCATGAAAAAAATGGATCTTGGTGTATTAGTTGATCGGTCTTTAAAGCCACCCAAGCAGTGTGCTGTTGCTAGTAGTAGGGCAAATGGGATTTTAGGTTGTATTTGCAGAAATATTGAAAACAAGTATAAAGAGTTTATAATTTCATTGTACAGGTCTGGTTAGGCAGCATTTGAAATATTGTATTCAGTTGTGGGCTTTTTATTTTAGGAAGGACATTGAATTGTTGGAAAGGGTTCAGAGAAAGGTTACTAGAATGGTGCCTGGGATGGAGGGGTTGTTATACGTGGAGAGGCTGAAAACTCTCAAATTGTTTTCTCTTGAAAAAAGTTAGAGGGGATCTAATTGAGGGGTTTAAGATTGTAAAGTAATTGATAGTGTTGATGTATCATCTTTTTTCATACTTAATAGTGAGAACAGTAGAACTAGGGGACACAAGTATACATTTTGGCAGGGCATACATATATAGGAGTCATCTTCAGTTTTATTTTTCTAACAGGGTGGTTGGCCTTTGGAATTGGTTGCTTTCGGATGTTGTGGAGGGAGTAAATTTAAGTGAGTTTAAGAGAAAGCTTGATAACTATATGAATGATAAGGGCTGGCTTTAAGATTTTTTAAATTTTATTTATCAATAGTTTTAGTTTAGTTTAGAGGATGGAACAGTCGATATGGACCAATATGTCCCATGTTGTCCCAAAACGTTATGTTACATGTTATCTTCAGTTTCGAGTATTTAAAGAAAGAACAGAAAATAAACTTTGATCGTTGAATATGAGGTGGACTTAAAACAAATCGAATAACATCTTTAGAGTCCTGTTAGTGTATCTGGCAAATATCGATACACCTGACATTTCAGAAAACCCCTCAATCCACAAAGCTGCTAGGATCAAATATAGTAATTTAGGGGGAAAAGCAAACGAAAAATGACAGCCTGTAATCCTACCACCAAAACGCTGTTGAAGCAATAGATCCTCTATGTGAGGTGGAGGCCGATTTGTTTAAATGACATTTTATCGAAGCTATAGTTATCTTGCAACTATCGGGAATGTTAAAATAGTCAATACAATGAACTTTGCATGTTTCTCGTATCATATGCTGCAACTTGTGTGATAATAATGACATTAAATTAGCTTGTACATAACTCTGAATTTTCTTACTTGATAATATTTTGTAATCGTCATAAATTATCATTATTAAACGAATAATGTATTGACATCACAAGAGGTCACCCCACACACACACACATTATCACGCAGAGTTAGAACTTAGAGTGTAATGTGATTTAGGAAATAATTTCGTAACAAATAACTAATATAACTTTTATAAGAAGTTAAATAATTCCACTGACATTTCTGTGCGACTACAAAGATAGTGATCTGTTACTTTATTACTTAGTGTGTTATGTTACACCTATGAATTTAAACTTGTGGTCGTGAGGTCCAAAGTGGAACTGGAACTACCAACTACAACTTACACTTACAAGTACAATTACTCACTGAATTAGTTTTAATTTAATTTTGAAAATAGTTATATAGTATTAACGAGAGTTAGATATACTCGTTAATTGACTGTAATAAGGTTCTAGCATCTAATTCTAAGCATAATAAAAATTATTTGTTTCATAGAATAACAATGCAGTATCATGATGGGAAAAAAATTATACTGGTTGAGTTAGAATATCACACTACTGACATCACTGTATTCATTTTATTGGCGTATATTGGTAATTAGTGTATCAATATCACTACTGTGATAGTATCACTATAATACTATTGACATCACCGTAGTTGCAGCACTTTACCACTCGCTAGAATTTTACTTTATCAAAAGTCTCACTCAAATAAGTTTCTGATATTTGGCAGATTTGTGATGTTAATGTAATTTGTATGAGAGAGAGAGACTGGGTTTGATTTCATTATATTTTAATATGATAAATCCAATCTAATGCAAACATTTAGAACAATTAATTAAAGCAGACTTAGGCCTGGAAGGCTGGGTTAATTCGAAAATTTTACAATTACGTTTCTTTCATTTATATTGGCCATCCACATAATCATAGATCAATAGGTGCCCAAGTAGGAAGAAACTTTTAGGGGTGAATTTTGCATTTGTGTGAAGTTTTGTTTGTATGCATGTGTTTTTTTATATTATTTTTCTGTTTCCTAACAGTTTTGGTAGTTTCTTTTCATTGGTGATTTGTTACATGACAAATCTTGCATAAATACATATTGGGAAATATGTTTAAACTAATTACAAGGCCACATTAAGTTTTATAAAAAACTAGAATGACTATTTTCAAAATTACATTACCAAAGTAGAGCAAGTATGATACAGAAGTATTTTAATTGCAAATAGATGTAATTTTCACATTTTGAAGTTTTGTATTTAACTTGTTTTTACAGTTAAACATGTGGACACCCATCAAACTTCAGAAAAATGTTTTGTGTAAATTCTTATGGAATACACAACGGTGCATATCTGTAAAAAGAAACAAACTTAAGGATGCAGAAGGATGTATCACTAGTCTACCAAGTAACCATTGTTATACAAACTTGTATCCTTGGAAGCATAAAGATGAGTTTATTGAATATATGGTGAAAAGCATTGTTTATAACAACGGTAATTGTTATTAATACTTGAAACTTAGAAAGATGTTGGTGTCATTAAAAAAATGCAATGTGCAGAGTATGAGAGTTATATAAATTAGTCACAAAATTCAACTTAAAAATTACAAAAAAGTATATTAAGCTTTTCCAATAATGATAAAAATATCTAGTGTGTGGTAGTTTTTGTTACTGACCTGTATAACTAGGCAGATGAGATATGAAATTTCATAAAATTGTGTTTTTATTGTCCAAATGTACTAATGCACAAAATTTAGCAATTTTATAAACAAATTTTTATTTGCATTTTAAATTTAACTGTTTTTAATACTAGTACCATTAGTAAATGGTTAATGACATTATTAGTTGTAAAATTAGAAATTTATAAAGGCCCTTTTATATGAGTATTTATTTCTATTCTAGATGGTCTAATTGTGGTTAATAAACCTTATGGTGTACCAATCTATAAGCATAATGTTCAAGGTGAGTTTATTTCTTTTTATTATGAGCATACATTACTGGGTGCTACTATAGCGTGCAGTCTACACAAATACTATCATCATCACCATTTTAACATTCGTTTATTTGCAATTGGTACCAGTTATTATAAATAATGCCTTTAAACTAATAAAATACAAAATAGCATTACATAACATTTTTGGGACAAATATAATCGGAATGAAATAAGTTCCAACAATCAAAACTAGTGCAATTATAACCTAAATGTAAGGTACTCTTTTGGAACACACTAATTATTAAATTATTATTATTTGCTGAACAAAAACATGGATAGATATTAATCATTTAGCAAGAAATTGTTTTAGTGAATCATTAAAATGGTATCTGTGTAGACCGCATGGATACAGTAGCACCCATTACTGTTATTGATGCTGTTGTCACATGCATTTCTTACCCTTTGCAGTTAATACTTTGGCCACTAAATATTATATATCTTGTATATGTTCTTAGCAGCTTAGAAATTGCCAAACATTTAGTAATATTATTGATGAAATATGTATAATTACACCTTGAGGATAAATCAATATTTTTAAAAACAGCTATAGCTTGATTAAATATAAAAGTACAAAAACTGTATATCTTGCTATATGGAAAATAGTAAAGGAGTCAACATAATGGTCAAATGATCAACATGCAATTCCTGTTGTAGGTTATTTGCTTAAAAACTTTTTTGTAACTTATTGAACCAAAATATAAGAGTTTTTTACATAAATATGATTACATGTAAAAGTTCATTGGTTAAAAATATCAAGGCCCAGCATAACCAGGTGGTTAGGGTGCTTGAATAGCAATCAGAGGGTCGTGGGTTCAAATTCCCGTCCCATCAAACATGCTCATCTATGGGGGCATTATAATGTGACGGTCAATCCAGCTATTCATTGGTAAAAGAGTAGCCCAAGAGTTGATTGTGGGTGGTGATAACTAGCTGCCTTCCCTCTAGTTTTTCACAGCTAACTTAGGAATGGCTAGTGCAGATAGCCATCATGTAGCTTTGCTTGAAATTCAAAACAAACCAAACAAAAAAATATCAAACTAAATCACCAAAGCATACAAAACCAATAATAGGATTTTCATGTATTTTAGACAGCAAATGAGAGACCATGTAGGAAAAAAACATGAGGAAATGGGAAAAAAAAATGTTAAAGCTATATTATGTTGTATAGATTTAATTTTAATAAAAACATATGGAATTGTTAACTAATAAAAATGGACTTTTGAAATAAATGTGACAACCATTGGGTTTCTGTAAAACATTGATTAGCAATGTGTGAAATTAAAAAATAAATATTTTACTTAATTCTACATTTAATTGTCTTTTTAGTTTTCAGTTTCATTTTTATTTTTGACTCAAGACAAGGTGTAAGAGTAATAATCAGTCAAATTATTACAATTAGTCAAATGTTAGATTGTAAAATATTAAAGTAAATAAAATACCCAAATAACATAGTGTTAAAGGCATTATCGGGGCTTAACAGAATCACCAGCCTTTTTATGTACTGATGAAGTACATTACTGCACAACTTTATACATATAATCAATAATTAACTATTGTTTCCAATATTAGAACAACAATAGAAACAAAAGCCATATCTAAGAAATGGTTGAGTATATTATTTTGAAATAATTTTTAAGTCTCACCACATTATCACAGTCCATGTTGTCACATCTGGTTATGCTCTATCTGATGACTGTGCATTTTGAAAATAGCCTTGCAGCTTGGTTTCCATTGCAAAGGGCTCTATTTTAAGACTGTCATGTACAGAGCATGCACTTCATCCCTACTGCTTTCCAAAGTCTTTGTATTGTAGGAGGATGATGGTTTTCTAGTGACCATATCAACAATCTGATCTTACAGAAATCCATAGGAGTTGCATCTGGTGAGTCTGCATGTGTAATAGCATGAATACCCTTTTCGTTCTCCATTGGAAGTTTATGAAAGTTGAACATTTATGTTGTGAAAGCAACTTGTGTCACCTTGCCAACTTGAGATCCTTTTTGATTATATTGTACACTGTTGCTTGTGGCACATGGATGGCTTTTGTCACTTGTTACAAGATACACATTTTTTACCATGGCTGAGGTATGACTTGTTGTAAGTCTCCTTCTGGATGGAACTGTGCCCCAATTTGATTCATATTAATTTGTTTTCCAATGCCATTAATTACGAGGGATATCCTATTCTTAAAAACCTAGTTCCTTTATCTAAACACATATTTATTATCTGAGTGTATGAATGTTTCACATTGCAAAAGGGCTGTTACATACTAATTCTAAAAGCAATAAACTTTTGGTGGCACATTCTATGTAGCCAATGCCAAACAATGTGAAACTCTTGTTCTGACACATTCCATTCCATCTTAACTTTATATTGGCTATCAATTTTCACATGACTTGCTGATTTTGTGTATTCCAAATTGTTTTAATATAATGTACTCAACTCTAGCTCTGTATATAGCAGACTCATTGGCTTAAAACATACATTGTGTAGTCACATTTGGTAGCTCAATAAAATGTATTATGTTAGCTGCACAAAAAAAAGGTGTAACAATTGATTCATCATTAAGATTTACTATTGTATGTAAAATATAATTTTAGTTTCTATTTGAAGTACACAGTGTCTAAACAGTTTTGCACTAGAGAAGAAAAAGATGTATAGAACAATTTTTATCTTTAACTACCTAGATCACGTAATTAATAGACAATTTATTCACTTTATTTCAAACTTTGTATAAAATAAATCACTATGAATTTTTACATGATCATTCAATTGTGTAAGCATTCTTGTCTGTGTAAGCAATATGCTTTGATTAGGAATTAATGATAATTAGAAAATTATTTTTCATAATTGCTAAATATTATTATGTTTATATAATGGAAAAAAATATTACTTGAGTGTAAGAAAACAACATATTATGTATCAAATAATTTTGGAATAGTCTGTAACTTGTTTGCATTCAGCAAAATTATTATGATTCAGAAATTTAGATATTTTCTTCTGTATTTTCTATTAAAGCTAATGAAAATAAAAGCACAGTAACTCAGACTGTGCTCAGCTCATCTCAAGTAGAATGTCCATATGTTCTTGAAGATGCACTAGAAGCTTTAAAAAGTCACTTACAATATACAGATTTGAAAATTGTTAAGTCAGCAGAAAGGTAAATGTTTAACATTATTTTAAAGTTTCTGTGAATTGTATTTATTTATGTACTGACTCTTAGTTCAAAATATCAGTTTTTATAGCAATTTCAGAAAATATTATTTATTGTAACTGAGTCTGTCCGAAGAGCTCTTGTATTGTTTTTTTTTTCCTTACAATATCTACAGTATTCAAGTCTTGTGCATTGTAGAGCATTAACAGAAAAATAACCTATGCACACTTGAAATCTCTCTTGTTTTGTTTTTACTAGAGCTAATCTGGGTTCATTTGACTCTGGATAAAAGTAAGATAATCAAACATTTGCTTGTTATCAGTTTGCCAAAAAATCAACAACAACAAGAACAAAAAAAGGTATAAAAATTTAAAAAAAAGTCATAAGACATTAATTTTTCTTTTGTAATTTATTGCTATAAGCATATTCTAATGTGCTTTAGAAGTTTGAATGACATTGTTCAGAAATTTTACTTACTTTTATAAAAATTTGAAGCAACAAAAATAAATGAAGTAGTTTTTAACTTTTATTCTTTTTTAGAGTTTTGTCTTTTGTATAGTTGAATTATCTTTTTTTTTTAGTAATTACAGTATATTTACTTCATTGTTATGTTAATTTCTCATGCTTTGAATGTTTCTTCTTTGTGAAAATTCCTTTTTTTAACAAAAGTTAGAAGTCTAAAATCATGAGTATGAAGAAAACATATTTTTGTGATATTTCTTTTATTTAAATATTCTGGGATATTATCAGCATTATTAACACAAGTGAGTGGATGATAAGCAAAACTTGATTAACTTCTGTCATAACTTGTAAATATCGATATACACTGTTAACTTCTTTATGTCCTTTTTGTAGTATGTAAAAAATGATAAAATAAAAGTTTCTATGTTCCTAATTATATATATATTTTTTAAATTTATTATTCTTTGGGTACATATAATTTTGTAAACATATTTAATTTCAAGACTTTAAAGGTGTTCTGTAGCAATGGGTAACAGATTTTATGCCGTTATACATCAATCACAAATGGTTGAAATCACAAATAAAAGCAGTTTTTGCTTGAGAGCATTCTAAAGTTAGGTTACACAAAGATATTACAAATGAATATGTGAATATATGTATGAATAATGCATTTAGTGATTGAGGTAGTTTTTCTAGTGTTGTAGTTTAAGGTTTGCCAGTTTGGTCAACAATGGCCAGTCAAGATGGAAAGATGTGCTGGCTCCGAGTTACTGCAAATAGGGTACTCATAAAATAATACAAATTACATTTTCATTTGAGCTATTTTAGCTTGTATATGTATTTTCCTTCATGCTTAAAGTTTCTCCTAAAAATTACAGATTAATGCATGGCAGAGATGTGATAGGTTTATCTTTTGATTCAACCCAGTTTGTAGTACATTGTGTAGCAAGTTATTTTTTGGATTTTTGACCTGTGTACGCTGTATGAGGATGTCAAAGAGTTGAAGGATCCTTCATTACAAGTGTTCACAAAAGTGGTAGAATTTTCTCAGATGTTAAAATTTCTATAATAGTTTTAATAGAGTATTAACACCTTTAGCAATCTGTTTGATAGTGTGTGTTATAAAAATTTATATTAAACTTTCAAATTGTTCTGTACCTTCTGTTTACTTCTTTTTCACATTATAACTTTTTTATCAATTTTAGTGTAGCTTCCAACTAGAATTTGTAGGTGTAACAGTATTATAGCTTTATTTAAATTTTCAGGTATATGAGTGGTATCGTTTTACTGGCAGCCACTGAAAAAGTGGCCCAGAAGATAAGGAAAGCCATAACAAGTAGTAAGACCAGAAAGCAACCTTTCATGAATTATTGGCAAGTTTTTCTGTTTTTATTGTATGTTTAAATTATTCAAAATAATTATGTAAAAAAAAACTTCGTAGAGGAAGACTTTAGAAAACACGTGAAATTAAACTGTTATAGAAAACTATTTTTAAAAATTGTTATGTTAATCAGAATTTTTTTCCAAAATGTAATTTTAGACACAAAAATCAGAATTATTAAAGAGTTAAATTGTAGTCCCACAAATGTCAAATTTTTTACCCACCAAATTCCAAGCCCCATGAACTCCAAATTTTTGCTCACTGGTGAGGAGGAATGTAAAAAAAAAACATTAACACAATATTAGTTGAACACAATCACATTGTGACGTGTAGGTATTAAAACATTTTCTTCCTTTGCAATTTGTAAGTTTGTCAATGGTTTAATATATCATTAATGTACTTCTTTGTAAGCTAACCAGGAAAACTAGTTTTTTTGTGATGCAGTATTTCTATAATAATAAAACTTTAACATTAAGTATAAAATAAATGATTAAGTGTCCATAGTTATGTAAATTTTTTGTGTTGTTATGATACTTCAAATGTAAGTATCTTCTCCTTTTTTAAAACAATTATGAAACCATTATTTGACAACACTATGTATGTATGTCTCCTTATAACTGGCAAACTGCTGGACCAATTGTCACCAAACCTGCCATGTACCCTTAGGGCCCTCCAAAAACAACATGGGGTGGCATTGGGATCTTCCATATGCATTGTGTTTGCTTATTACTGGTGAACTACTGGACTGATTGCTACCAAATCTGGCATGTACGTTTAGATTCTACCATGGAGGATTACACAGTGGTTGGCATTTAGTTTTGATCCCTCCTGTGACACCCTCTTAGGCCCATATGACTTCCCCATGCATGTCAGCTAATATTTTTAAATTGGTTACCCTATACTAATGTTACTTCTTAAACTTAAATAAGTTAAAATGTTCTTATTACTTATAAAACAATTCTTAATGTAATTAAAGAATTAGAGGTAAATATATCAAATTTTTATTTATATTGTGGTTGTATTTTTATTTCTTTATATTGTCACTTATTTTAAGCTTTTTTGTTTGCAAGAGGAAGTGCCCCTAATTTCATCCACACTGTATAAATACTTTCTGTGAAGGACTAACATAATTTCTGCTTGGTAATGCTCGTAATGTTTCTCAAAACAGATTATGTAAATAAAACCAATCTGTAAAAATATATACCGTGTGACAATGCAATACATAATTAGTTTAACCCAACAGAGTTTAATAGGAATTAATGTGATGTATCATTGCTATTATACTTGACAGCATCAAGTATTAGTCCCTGCATTGTTTTAGAACACAATCCTATTTTTGCTTTGAATGACCAAACTATGTGTATGCTACTTACAACTTGTACAGTGATGCACCATTGCAGCTTAGCTTAGGATTACTTACTTTTACGAGAACCATAAAGTTTTTCATATATTTGCTGGTGGTTATTAGTTAATGACACATGGAAGTTATATCTTTATTGCATTAAAGCTGACAGTTATTTACTATTGTGACTTATTTCGTGTTGTTGCCCAAGTCTAAGTGTTTCGATTTTAATTAAATCAAAATCAGAAGATCTACAAGTGAGAAACTTCTGAATAAATGATATTGGGTTGTGTGTGTGTGTGTGTGTGTGTGAGAGAGAGAGAGATAGGTAACATTCGGATATAATAAAAAGACATGTCTCCAGGTTTGTTGAACTGACTAAAATGGACTAAACTGATTTATTCAAAATATAACAACACATTTCTAGAAGTATAACCTCAGCACCATCAAGAGAAAGAGTACATTTTCTGATAGAAACAGTTTTGCTCCAAATATTACGTAACATAATTTTGTTTCTTCATTTCCAAATTGTTGCATTTACAAATTTTGCTTTGTCTCTGTTTAATTATTCATGTAATTCATTAGTGTCCACTTATCATATTTGATGTACTTAAGTGTATCTAGACTTTGACTAAAACAGTTGCATAGTTATTCTTATTCATTTTTAATCTGGTTACAAACCAGAAATGAGAGAAAGATGGAAAGAACAGAAGCAAATATTTCTAAGAAATTTGCCTATCAGGAGAATCCATATAATTTAAAGTACTTACATTTGAAATTACCTTCTACTGATTTTACTGAACATTAATTACTGTAATTTTTATTACAACTCCAGTCCAAGATCTGTGAGATCTTTCTAAAAGTTATGATAATCTGTATACAAATCTGAAACAAATAATCGTGAAAATGTCTGTAGACTTAAAGCAGTCTGTATCTGATAACCAGGACCAAACCAGGTGGAGAAAACTCTTGAACATTGTTCATAGTTGCCATGTTCATTCATTGGTTATCAGTCATCTTACCACCTTCTGATGTATCTTCTACAGGTCTAGCTTTACTCAACAGCCCTTTTCCGCTATCCCATATAATTATCACAAACTATCTTTACATGTGCTTGGAAATGTGACACTCACAGGTAGTAAACAAAGTAATATAGAATATTAATATAGTTATGAATTTTTGGGTAATAACAAGAAAAATATTCACTCTAAAATATCACAATCACTTCATCACTTGTGAAAAATCTTTGATGCTTGGCTTACCTTCTGAACTAGACACTTACCCATACTAATATTTTTAATAAAATAATTCATTTATTGCCTAGTGACAAGGTAATATTCAGTGAAAGACATCACAGAGTACTCTCTCTCTTACCATAATACACAGTGTCATTAATAATTCTGATATTGAGAAGTATCGTACTGTGGGATTTCACAAAAACTTAAAGTAACCATATTTATGCTATTATCTGCTTTCTTTCCATTTTCATTTCACCAGTGTTAAACCACTATTTTCTGTCATATAAGAATGATGAACATTCAGAATACATTATTTTAATTTTTAGAACTTGGTAGATTATCCAGTTACCACAGCCTTAGCTTTCATTAGCCTTTGAACCTTTAGTGAGTTATGGTCACATGTGTTTTTATACTACATTTAGAAACTCATTTCCAAATGTTGTGAAAACTGCCTGGCTCTCAGTGAGCTCTGACAAAGATGTTTATAATCCTAGCTCTTTGGTAGCTGAAGTTTTCACTGCCTTTGTAAACTAAACTCACTTGAATTCTTTCATGAACAGACATTTGTATTTCGAAGAGCCAGAAAAAAATTGGACAAAAATCAAAAGTGTTACATTTGAGTGATTATTTGTATATTTATATTTTCAATCCTCTTAACCCAATTTTTGGATGTTGTCATTGAAATGGAAGAATCTCAAAATGATCACAAACCTGTTTTGTCATGACTTGTTGAAACAGTGAGTATAGTTTTTACAGGTAAATTTAACCAGTATTTTTCATATGTAGGTCTTTTGATTAAACCCATTAAGAGAATTAACCATAGGAACTCATGCATTTCATCACAATCTTGCTGGTGAGCATGATCTCATACTGGTTATTCTTTTTCAAAGACTGGTTAGCATCCATATTCTTCTGTTCAACTATGTAATCCATAAAGGCATCCCCTATAAAATATTTGAAGAAATGAATGATTCAAACATATTCATTGTGTCAACCAGAACACTGAAAAGCTTGTATATCTGGTTTTCTCATTAGTGGCCTTCTCCACTGAAATTCCATTACTGGCATTGCTTAATTTATACTATTTTTTAGGTTACTGGCTCCTCTTTCTTCCACATTTTCACCAATATTGACATCCAAATGTTTTTCTTTTATTTTGTCATTTTCTTGAGAGTCGTCACAATCATGCAAAACCATCTGCACTACCAGTACAATCATATGTCCTTTTGAAATACCATCAGCACATTTTTGTCACCTTCAGTACTTCATTTCCTTCTGTAGGAAGAACAAACAAACCCTCTGGTCTTTAGTTCAAAATTATCAGTACAATCATATGTCCCTTTGAAATATCGTCAGCACATTTTTGTCACCTTTAGTACTTCATCTCCTTCAGTAGGAAGAACAAACAAACCCTCTGGTCTGTAGTTCAAAATTAGGGTTGGTGGCAGATAGCCTTAATAGCTTTGCCATAAATACAAATACGAGTATGTCAGAAATTCATTTTTTCAATTAATCACATATTTAAAGCAGAATAAGTAAAGCAGTTAAAGTATTAACTAATTTTGATGTTTATTATTAAACAGTATTAATATTTCGTCAAATATTTAAGTAATATATATGTATTTAAGCAGAAAAAGTAGAGAAATTTTACATTAATTCCAGTAAGTTCATCATATAAAGCAAGTCATAGCCATCTTTTTCTGCAGAGTTTAGCATAGTTATCCTTCTAGGTCCAACAATTTTTTCATCACTTATAATACATATATATTTGTATATTTGACAACATTTATCAAAACTGGGAGTATTTCATATTATTTACTAGTCTACCATTGTTATTCAACTGAAATCAAATTTGTGACAAATTTTTCACAGCAGAAAACCACAGAGTTTCTTTGTCTTGCTGTTACTTGTCACTGAGTTAGACTGGTTTCAGTAATCTTGGACTTAGGCAAATCAAAGAACAAGACCATTCTTCTTAGGGGTGATTTGCAATTTATTATTTCTTTTTTTCAGATAGATGTATTAATGTAAATTACTTGTTGTCTGTGAAAGATATTAAAGTAGTTTTATTACCCAAAATGTAATTAACAGTTTTCAACTGATTATGAATGCTACGTGTAAATTGTGATGAAGTATTAAAATTAACAGTGCTGTCTCAATAAAATAACTTATTCATTCTTTAGCACCTTTAAAATAGTGATAAAAGAAAACACTTATGTGTTCATTAACTTGAAGTCTTTGGTCTGTGCATGTATTGTGAAGTACAAAGTAATTCAGTACCCTAACATAAATAAACTGAAATTTCCTGGTATTATGTAATATTGTTTTGTTTTGGGTTATTTAGTATTGTGAATCTTCTTGATTATGTTAGATTTCTTTACTGTGATGATTACATCATAGGGCAATCACTAAAGGTTATCCTGATCCAGCGATATTAGAAGAAAGGGTTGGAATTAAACTTATTGAAGTAGGACAAGAAAGCAACAAGCAGGTGAGACTTCACAGTACAAATTTTGAGAAAAATCTACAGTGTGATTTATTAAGAAACCTCCATATTCCAGTACAATAACTTAGCTCCACTCACAAAACAGCTTTTTTCGTTTTGTACTGTCCCTTATATGCCCAAAATGTTCACCTGCCACTAGCCTTTATACTCCCACTAATCTCCATGGGTTTTCCACATGGTATAGCTGCACAGTAGCATGCAAATAAACATGCGACAACCTTCCACCAATAGAAGTGCAACACACCCTCCTAGCACAGCTGACTCCCTCTATGCAGTAGAACCCAATCTTCACTTCTTGATTTGGAATGGCAGTGTCAGTCGTCATGCTTGCCGATTTTTTTTTATTTGGTATACAATGTTTTTAAACTTCGAAAGTTTGTAGGCTTTAAAATTTTCTTCACTAATTTTTTTGGATTTTCAAATCTTTTTTGCTTGGATTTGAAAAGCAACTTGGAATTAGTTTTTTCGTGTGCTTCAAGTGAATTTCATTTTGAATAATTTCTATGGATGATTTATTATGAATTCCTAAGTCTAATGTTATGAATTCAGACACTATTAATGACCCACAACCTAACATGATGGCTTCATGTCCAACATTATCAGCTGAGGATATTTTGACCCTTGTAAGAAGCAAGATGTTTTCCTTCATGTTGGTTGAGAGGTGTCTTGACCATCAACCACTTCTCCCCTACTTGGGGTAACTATAACAGGATGATAAGGATTTAAACAGCCTTTTTCCTCCCCCTTCCCTTGCTGTGCAGTCTAATTCTCACACTGTGGATGCACCACAATGTTTCTTCTCCATTTTTGAAGTTAGTTCCACAAGTATGTTCTGTTTTGTCTCCCATGTCTTATGAACTATTTTCCCTTCCCTTTTGACAGAAGCATCTACTGCTGCTATTTTGTCTTTCCTCCCTCACCAGACATCAGGGTCCACATTGAGTGGCTTGCTCAGCAATTGCATTCAGGGTCAGCATGCAGCATCCCCACGCATGGCAGAGGCTCATGCCTTGGTTTACCATTGTTTGGCATATTCTTTTCTGGATACTCAACATTTAGATTTGTGCCTTCATCTGAAATTGACATCTCTCCTTCATTATCTTTCTTCCATGCTTTTGTCTGAGGCTATCAGTTGTTCCCCTGTGGGGTTTTTGGTGGATGCCTGTTACCCCCTATTCTCCACATTGGCATACTTGTCCTCTTCAGACCTTTCCCTCCACACTTAGCTCCTTTGTTGTTGACATATCTTAGGTAGAGATGCTCTCTTAACTCCTGGGAGTCTCCCCTACCTCTTTGTTTGATTTATGCATGGCCCCCTTTTTCTGACAAATGGTTTTTGGGGGTCTTCCTGACTCTTGGAGTCAAGAGTGGAATCTGCCCATTTGAATACCTCCCTCTCCTCTATGTCATCACAATCTTCTCCTGCTCCTGTCTCATGGCCACCTCCTTCATCTCCCTTACTTCTTCCTTCCTCATGGGTTGCATCTTGACGATGTAGTATTGTTCACAGCTGACCTGCATGCCACCAACAATACAGGTGACTGTTCTGTTGGATCAAGTCCAGTAGGGGACAGATTTCTACTTTTTGCAAATGTCTGGGAGTCATTTACCACTGACCCTTGGGTTCTTATCAGGAGGAATCTCTCTTCATTTCCTTTCACACCTTCCCTTTCCCCCTTTCCTGGGGCCTTGAATTGATGGATTGTTAGGCTGCTTCGCTCACAATCTGTGGGTCACATGTTCAAATCCACATTCCAACAAACATGCTCATCCTTTCAGCCGTGGGGCATTATAACATGACAGTCAATCCCACAATTCTTTGGTAACGAGTAGCCCAAATGTTAGTGGAGTGTGATGATGGCTAGCTGCATTCCCTCTAGTCTTTTACTGCTAAATTAGGGATAGTTAGTTTAGATAGCCCTCATGTAACTTTGCATAAAATTCAAACCAAACCCTCTTTCCTGTTCTTTTCCACCCTCCTTGGGATCCTCTATTTAGCCAGTGTCTTTCCAAGGAAGTTCAGGATCTTCTACTCAAGGGTGCTATAGAACCAGTAGTTCCTACTGTTCTGGGTTTCTATTCTCATCTTTTTGTAGTCCCCAAGAAGACCAAGGATTGGCATCCTATTATCGATTTCTCCCATCTGAATCACTATTTGGAAGTTCCTCGGTTCATCAAGGAGTCTTTCCTGTCTCTTTGAGGCTTTTACTCCAGGTCTTTGAATGATGAAGTTCAATCTGTCAGATGCTTACCTCCATTTTCCTATTTCCCTAGCATCCCATCATTATCTTCATTTTGTCCACAGGGACTGTACATATCAGTTTTGAGCTGGCCTTGGATCCCTACATTTTTTCTTGGGTAGTCAAAGCCTTCATCTGACCTTTTCTTTCACAGAGGCTTTGTTTCCATCATTACATGGATGACTAGCTACTTCTAGCTCCTTCACTTTCAGCCTCTTCCATCAACATACAGTTTCTTCTCAAGGAAGCTGCACAGGTGGGTTGGCTGTTCAAGTGGAGAAGCATGTTCTCACACTGACTCAGTACCTCATTTATCTTGGGGTATTCTTCAACACCCATCTCAGTTGGGCCCAGCCCCTTCTCCCCTCCAACTGTGTTCCATGGAGCTTGTGATTCAGAAAGCACAATCTTCACCTTTTCTTCTTGTGTGAGAGGTTCTTTCTCTTTTGGGGACATGGGCTTTCTTGGGAGCTCTTATTCTCCTTTACTGTACCCACATGTGATCTCTTCAGTTGGTCCTTTAGGATCAATGGAACCTCACTGGAGATCCTCTTGATTTCCCAGTATCCCTTCCCACCAGACCAATTTTTACAGGGACAACACAATGGTTGGTCTCCTCCTCCATGACCAGAGGTGCATCTTTTTATGGATGCTCCTCTGTTGGGCTGGGGGGGGGGGGTCATACTGTGATGTCCAAGAGATCTCAGGCTGTTGGTCTTCAGTTAAGTAGAGTTTTCACATCAATATTCTGGAACTCCTGGCTGTTCTTCAGGCAAAGGATTCTTTCTTGCCAACTTTTAGAAACAAAACAGGGATGATCCACTCTGACAACTTGATTGTTTACCTTCTTGGCAAGGGGGCACCCAGCTGCGATCATTGTATTTTCACACATTTGACATGCTATTCTGGACCCACAGTCATCACATTTGTTTGCTGTCCTGTCATATCCTGGATGCTCTCAATCTTGTCACAGATCGATTATTTCATCCCAACAAGGTTCTTCCCATGGAGTGGTCTCGGTTGGGTACTCCATGGCTGGATGCATTTGCCACCCATCTGAATACCAAACTCCCTCTATTTTGGTCTCCTTTTCCTTGTCCTTTGGTGTTGGTGATAGATGCCCTCAATCCAGATCGGACAGTCCTCTACATTTATACCTATCTCCACATCTGTCTCCTCTCCAGGGTCCTTTTCATTATCCAAACCACTTTGTGTTGAGTTCTTATAATAACTCCATTTTGGGCAGCTCAGCCTTGGTTCCCTCTACTCTTCCCTCTTCAGTTGTCACCACTGTTACCTCTTTCTCTCTCTCCTTCTCTTCTCCATCAACCACATTTGGCAGTGCTTTATCCATCCATTTCCACCCTCTGATTTCATACATTTTTTTGTCCAGTCCCTTGCTTAAATTTTGGGACTTTCCACCCAGGTAGCATCCCTTTTTTCCCACTCCATCCGCTCCTCTTCCTTGTCTTTGTAACAACGTAAGTGCTTTATTTTTGAGATTTATCCCTTCCTCTCCTTCTACCCCTCACTTTTCTGAATTTTGTACCTGGCTTTTTGATAATGGTCTTTCTGCGTTGACCATTGTCAGTTAGAGAGTTGCATTATTGTCTACCTTTCATTTTTCCTGATTCTTTAATGTTTTTTCTTCTCCTATTATTTCTGTCTTGTTTCATTCTTTTCATCTCCATTTCCCTCTTTAACCTATTCCCATGCTAGATTGGGATCTTAATGTTATCCTCCATGCCTTTTCTCTACCTCTGTTTGAACCTTTGGCTTCCTGTTCCATATATCACATATCGGTGAAAACCTTTTTTCTCCTCCTGTTGTCTTGTGGATGTTGAAGGTCTGATGTGTTTGTCATTGATGTCTCTCACATCCTTTACCACCAAACTTATGTTCTCCTTTATTCTGATTGTACCTTTCTACCAAAATCTCTACTGCACGTGAGGGTAATGTTGCCTTCACTCCTATTTCCCTTCTATCCATTTAATATATATATATATATATATATATTCCCATTCTGATTCCAATCATCTCCTGTGTCTGGGCATGGCTCTGAAGTGCTATGTGGCTTGCACCACTCCTCTCCATGGTTCCCTTTCCTGTTTGTTTATACACTGGAATCGTTTTGTTTCCCATAACCTTTTTCCTATTTCCCTGATAAGTTGGGTTTTGCAACTCATCTGTATAGCCTATTCCTCTTTGTCTCCTGACTCCCATAACCTTTTTTGTGTCTCTGCTCTTCAGATTCATCACTTCACAATGTCTTTGGCTGCTCATCTTCATTGTCTTTTGTAGGAGATTAACCAGGCTAGCATGTGGAACACACCTCATACTTTCACGTCACTTTATCTGCGTCATCTGGTGGTTTCCTTCTCAACCGAATATTGTTTACCTCTTATCACTCATCGATTCATCACTTAGTACGTAAATGTTATTTTTCTTCTTTATTTCTTAATACAGAGGCCTCCTTGCACTTCTATTTCAGATTCCACTCTGTGGCGAGTGGTGCCTGCCAGTTGTACTAATTCTTAAATTTGCACTTTGCGACCTTTTATCACTGACATTCACTGTTGAGATGGAGTGTTCCACTAGGTCACTTCTAGATTAATTTTTGTCATGTTTTGCTTTATAAATATGTTTATCCCAGATTGTACACTCATGGACTAACATGAGTGAAGCAGAAAGGGAATGCTGCCATTCCTTGCTATTCTTTTGATTATACCAACTGGGTTTGGTCTGCTTTTCAAAATAAGATTTGTGATCACCCATTGCATATTGTCTGATAATGCATTCCTTCAGACTCTCTAACACATCTCCCCCTTCTTGTAGTGGAGTACAGGAGTCCTTACCACTTACCACTTTATAGCCACTGGGGTGATGGTCAGTGGAGGCTTCCTTCTGAGTGTGTTCAATTCCACTCAATTGAGAGTAGGGCTATCCTTCTACAATGGATCTGATGTAAGATTCCAGATGCCGTACAGTATGGATTGGACTCTTCTGTCACATCTCTACATACAGTTCATCTCTCTGACTGGGAACTCTTGTTCCTACTGCCGCCTGGATATCTGTTTCTGGGTGACAGGTGTTGGTTGGAGCTGGACTAGTCGACATAAGTCCTCACATGTGAGTGGGCTGGGATCCTCCCACTGCTGTGTACTGGATGGTACATTCCTAATGCTGCATGGCTCTGGACTGGAGTTGACCATCCATGTTGCCTTTCTACCTTCCTATCATTATCCAGATGTCTGTTCTCAGGGAATACTAGTGTTGGTTATGCACACATGATTGTTTTGGTTCTTGGAAATGGAAGTACTTCTTTTCTAGTTCCTGGGTATGAGGTGAATGGTAGAGGACCCAATCTCGGTCCCACTGGTTTTTGACTGGAGTTGATCTCCTGGTTACGGTCCGACAAGCCCTAGCTATTCTACACCAGTGGCACCTTTTTCAGATGTGCCTCATTTTCCCCCATTTCATGACATTTTCATTCATGTCAGGTGAAGAGTGTACCTGGTTCAAATGTGGTGCATGTGTATGTTTTCTATCCATTGAGATGACTCATTCCTTGAGTCCTCTTTAGACGCTTTCTGAGGTGACTCATCTAGGTTACTTCTACACTGGTCTCTCCACCCGATGCTTTGTGAGATGGATACTTACTTCCACTCACACTTCCCATCCATCCTCCCCATTTCCAGTGTATTTTTTCATGCATGATTTTGAAGTGAAGATTGGATTCTACTGCAGTGAGAGGCAGTCAGCTGCGCTAGAAGGGTGTCTTGCACTCCTATTGGTAGAGGTTTGTTGCATGTTTATTTGCATGCTACAGTGTAGCTATACTGTGTGGAAAATGTGGAGATTAGTTGGAGTACAAAGGCTAGTAGTGGGCAAAAATTTTATGCATATAGAGGACAGTACAAATCGAGGAAAACTGTTTTGTGAGTGGAAGTAAGTATCTATCAGAAATATGTTTTCAATTTAGGAAAATATTAACTTTAAAATGGTTCTGGCTTAAAAACTATTTGGCCTTAGGAAATAAAATTTCACCAGAGGCACATTGAGAATCACAAGTTTTATTCAGGAAAGTTTGGACAAGGTAAAATGTGTTTTCAAACCATATTATACTACATACCTAAATTACTTTTCTTGCAGACTAGCTATTGCTTTTATTTTTCTTCTCACTCTTTTTTTTTTCTTCAAAAATATAAGTTGATTATTTGAATGAAATGCATGTCAATGTGCAGGATATTGTGAGAATGAATGAACACTGTCCAAGACAAATGATGCTTGCAGTAACTTCACTTAGAAAAAGGCTTAACATGCTGATTTAGAATGATGATAAACATGTCAAATATCTGCGACAGTTTTTGAAACACCTGTCTTATGTCGAAACTTCCCTGAATAAAATTTTTGATTCTTTATGTACCTCTGGTAAAATTTAGTAGATTATAATTATTCTAATATTAAATGTAGGAGTTCTTTTATAACTATCCTATATATCAGAATTTTAATTCAAATGGTAACAAAGGCACTGAAGATGCTGCTTAAACAGTGTTTAATGTTACTCGAAGGTTATTAAGCTTAGAATGTAAATTTATAAATAACCATATTTTTTCCCTGATTAACTTCTGTTTTACTTTACTAACTGATAGGTTATTAAAGAAAAAAAATCCTATAACAAGGATTAGCTCAACACAGTTGTTTAATTTTAATTTGATTTCCAGCACATCTTGGTCAAGTAAAAGAGTTGGTAAGCTTACATGGCATTCCATGTAAGTTTGGTAGCAGTGTATATATGATGTAATATTTGTTTGAAATTTTTGAGTTTAGGTTAGTTCGTAACAAAATACATAGCCAAACATGGTATACATTTATCTATACACTCATACCTCGGTTAGGTTCTTGCAAGCACTGTGTTCTCCAAGACTATTAGTTGACAGGTTAGTGTTAAGTAGAAGTCTTTGAACTGGATTCTTTTGGATTTTACAAATTACGGTAATGATATAAAAAGTTATTTTTGGTATATAAGTAATTGTGTTGTTATAAAATATTCTATAAGTGAATTGTAATTTCTCCAATTTAACAGAATCTTCAGTGACTACTAAGTTTAATGGATCAAACTTCAGTGAGGAAATACTTGAGTGAAAAATTTATGTAGTTGTTTATTGCTTTAAGCTTATACATGTATGAAAGTATTGCGGAAATGGAAATGCATTGAAAGATAAAGTATAAAAAAAAGAGTGAATAGCTACAGGTTGTCAAATAACCAATTGTACAAGATTTTAATCATGCTAAAATATAAGCATTATGAAGAACAAATTATTTCTTTTATTTTGAAATGCAGACACCCTGTCCTTATACTGAATGAAATTTTTAAATATCTCTATTATAAAGCAAATAAAATTTCTCCTGTAAGGATGTAAAGCCATTTTGTAGACTATTTTGGTGTTTATAATTACAGAATTCTTATAAACAACTTCTTAAATTTCATTTTAGATTTTTGTACATAATAAATAAATTTCAGTTGATTTAATAGTGTTTGTAATATCTTAATTACAGCCTATTATTGTAAAGAAGTTTTCCAAGAAAGAAGTGTTAAACACGAAAGTTAGACCCGTGAATGTGGAGTTTAGAACCATATGTATCAATAAGCCTCTTTCATCCTGTCTTTTAGAAATAACAACATCTTCAGGTAGTATTTTTTCCACTATTCATTTATTTTTAATTTATTCATAATTCCCTCAAATCAAGTAATTCGAAGTCTACCAAGGAAATATGGTCATAACTTAATCATTAGCGCCATTAATGTGAGTTAAATACCAAAATTAATAATATGCTCTTTATTTATCCATCAAAGCTTTCTAAAACCTTTGAATTCACAAAATCAATAATACTTTAAGAAAATTAAAGGAAAAATTGTATTGTTCTAAAACTTTTTGTACATGCATTGCATTTGTCATGTGATGTTAGTTGCATAGATGAAAAGATGTTTAGAAATCTTTCATATGTTTATATTTATATACATATAAGTTGTATATCTTATTATAATAGTTGAAACTATTCATCTATATACCTGTTTGTCTATCAGTGTAAATATTGACTTGAACAATTTGTTGAATATTAGCAGGTGCCTGTTAAAACAATTAAATGTTAATTTTTCTAAAAATAATGATGAATAAAATATGCAGTCAACCAGATCCCTTGGATCAGATTTTATATGCAACTTGTTTGCTTTTTGTGCCATTTACAATCATCTTTTGTTATTCCATGTGTTATTTCAATAAGGAAAATTGCATTGCAATGAATTGTTGGCAAAAATCTTTGGTTTTTATGCAATGGATGCATCCAGCACATTAGAGCACTCGGCTTTGCTAAGTAGCTGCTGGGATTTTTTCCATTGGATGCCACTGTTTCTTGTCATTTTACTGAGTGCAAGAAAGACCATTACCAAAGTGAGCACTTTTTAGCAGTTGTCAAGAAGTGTCAAAAAAGAGATATTCAATTCAATGTATTCGACATGGTACAATAAAATCATGTATGTATATAATACAGATATGGAGGGGGGACAACAGATGTATACACAAACAAATTCCTCTCTTTATATATTTTTTCTGTTCATGCTTTTATCTTTGAAATGTTTCTTTCAATCAGTTGATGGAGGAATTCCTATTTTTTTCATGAAATTTGCTCACAAAAACAAGCATATTTGTTCTTAATAAGTTTTTTTCTCAGATTGACCACTCAGCACATATGAAAACTGATGATCAATATTGACATCGATATAAAATTTTAGCAATTGCAAAAAAATGAATAATTTTCATGTAATGTACTCTTCAAAATAAGCATTTTGATATATATTTCCTATGATTAATTGCTCAGGATGAGAAGTAGACATTTGGCTATTATATATATTGATGATAGAAAAGTTAGGACAGTGAAATTCACTATTTACTATATTCACATTATCTATTGAAGTGAAATTAAGTATTTTTTACTGGTGTATAATAAAAGTAAAGGAGAGTGGGTCACACCATGTTTTTTTTTTAAACAGTTTTAGATAAATAGATGGTGCTGATAACATTTTAGTAGCTCATATTTCTTAGGACAGAAACAATATTTAATAACATGTATTCAAATTACAAATTTAATTCTATGTGAAGTTAAACCATAAAACTTTTTTAATAATGTCCCATCGTGCCACAGAAGAAGACGATGTGATAAAATGGAACTGTACTAAAATAATAGGATATAAACCACACACACACACACAACAAAAAAAAAAGAGATAAGAAAAGCCTTCTACATCCACCTAACTGATGTTACTCTCAGTCAACCTAGCATATAAACCAGTAAAATTGGATACCCTTCTTGAAAACATTGAAACAGTTAATTCAAGTTATGGTGGAGTAAACACCTGTTGAGTGCATAATGCACCAGACCTTTCATCGAGAAGACTTAGGATTGAATCTTGGCCACTGCCAACACAGAAATAGTCCTTGTCTGGACTTTGCTGCAGTTTGCAGCATATTAACAGCCAACTTTTGTTTAGTTTAGTAGCAATTGAACTTTATTTAATGTAGTGATCAGCAGGTATGTCATTGCTGAAGTCTTTGTTGTTTGAGTATCTGAGAATGAATTGTAACAATAAACATTTTAAAACATATTAGGAAGGTAGAATAAGGTACTTTGCAAGAAAATGTCTTTTGTTATTTTTTATTAAAAAAAGGGTACAGTACAAAAGTATTTATAATTTGGTGGAAAGAACTGTTGTTTATATGTCAAACAAAAAAACATTAACTTAATTAAAATAATGGATATATTAGTGTACTATATAATGTTGATCTTAGGTAGTATTACAGTAAGCTGTAGATAAATAAGTAAAAAAAGACTATAAAATTTATCCAGCTTATCAACTTCTGCTATAATAGTTTAATTGCAGTGAAAAGTTGTTGAAATCTGAAGCAACTAACTTATGTGAGGAACTTGTGTTGTGTTTTTAGTTTGAAGCCTATAAAGGGTGCATTTGATTTGTTCTGATGCCTGGAACATTAGGGAAAAGTAACTGGTAAACAGACTTAAATAGTACAAAGATTTGTATTCAAATGAGTACTGGTGAATATCTACTTTTGAACTAATTTTAAAAGATAAAACAAGGTCACCTTTTGTGCATTTGCAAGTAACAACGGACATTCTTTTATGTCATTGTAACTTGTTTTCTTAATTGCATCTTACTTGTCAATAAGTTATTTTTTAGTGGCAATAGAACAAATGTTTGGTTTTGTTTTGGAAGGTATGGAATGATAATGATAATGCTAAATGTGTTGCATTTACAATAGTGAATAGCTTTTTTTGGTTTGTTACTATATAGAAACAATTCATTAGGAGTGTATATATGTAACAATTATTATTTTTCAAATTGAGCATTTGATTATAGTCAAATGTGTAGAATACTTCTAAGCATGTGGGAATTATTAACTTTTATAGTTTGCTACAATGGATAAAAAAACTGTCTGCCTACACATTTATCACTCTGAAATGAAATAGATAAGATATTGAATGAAGTATGGTTATAAATACAATTTCATTTTTTTTGTCATCAGATTTTAAGTTTCAGAAGTGTTGTTTGGTTTGTACTTTGTTTTTAAAGACTAATTTCAGACAGTAAAAATATGTATTGTATTTTATTTTATGCTTTTCATACAAAGTTATAACATTAATTTATAGGTGAAAATAATAAACGAGGTAATTACTTGTATACAATATAACCTATATGTCTCCTTTAGTGAAGTGGCACTTTCTTCGGGTTTATTTGGCTAACAAGGTATCATGTGTGTTAGGAGATACTCTATATTCATCAAGGGTACGTCAAATTTTAGGACAACCATTCACCATCAGTCCCTACAATACTGCAGCCTATGATATTCAGGTAGTATTTTATTATTGTAAATGATTGTAGTAAATTGCAGTAAAAGTCCAGAAATAGTCTTTAACACTTTTGCTATGAGCTTGGTCAAATCAGCCAAGTTTGTATTCCCAAATTGACCTTTATAGCTTCCATACCATAACTTCTAATATGTTTTGTGTATCTTCATAAAATTTTGCCAGCTTTCAGTAATCTTTAAGAGTCTCTTGTAGACTAAAAATCAGAATTTTTAATGAAGTATTTTCATTAAGAATTTCTCCATGAATATATGGAATCAAAGTGTTGACTGCTCCGAGTACAAAGTGATTTTTTCATGTTAAAATTAAAAAACTTTTCTTCATCTGAAAAAATCTCGTGTCTCATTTGCATACTCTCTAAAACCTAAGTAAATTTCAAACATTCTTTTTCAGTAAAACTTTATATTTTATCTGTTATTTTCTCTACCCTAACTCTGAGGTTAGTCAATTTGACCAACTTTTAACCAACCAAAAAAAATCAAAATAAATCTAAATTACCCTTTTTCTCTTTATAGACTGACTTCAAATTGTAACATAAAACTACATTTATTTATCTTAAACAGCTTTAAACTCATAACATTATATATCTGTTTCTACTTAAATTTTGTTTTATTGCTCTTTGAACTGTGTCTAACTGATATTCCTGCCATCCAAGTTGTAAGACATTTGGCGAACATGTAATTCACATTACTCTATCGTATTACATAATGCATGGGCTACTTGTAAGTTGCTTATGAAAATTTTTTTAAGTATTAGTATTATTCGTTATTTTATGTAATCTAACCTAAAAAGTTTCTAATTTTTACATTTTAGTTACTTTTAATAATAAATAAAGAATACACATGAAAAAAAGAAATAAAGTAATTACCTGTTTTTAATTAATTTTTTTTTTGGAGTCAACTGTCAATGAAACTTAACCATACTTTTGTGTACTAATGGTACTACTGCACTAAAGAATTTTTTATTTAATTAAGTAATGTACCAAAGGACAAAAAAGCAGACAATGTTCTATAACTATTGCAATTTTTCTGGCTTTCTAATTATGCAACAAGAGCCATTAAAAATTCAGCTAAGCTTGTCACTGTGTTTCCTGTGGGAATAAAGTTTGAACTGGAAGCAAATTAGACAATTTTCTGTACAGAAACCAATGTAACATAATATGTAATTTGATAGATTAAAATCTTGGCTTCCTATTGGTTATAAATAGTATAATATTAAACGTCAGAGAGAACTATTGGCAATTTGTGGAAGAGAGGATGTGGCAAGAGGGGTCTAATTTTTCTAATTCATGGCACTGTAACCAAATAATATTGAAGGCTATAAAAATTATGATTTGCCTGAGTAATGACAACATTATAATGAGTAATTTATGCTAAACTTAGTATTTCTTGGAAGGGTGATAAATAAATTCTCAGAGAAAATACTAGAGAAAATTGAATTTTTTTTTAATATTGCCTTTTAAAATGAATAACTTAAAACTTATATAATATTAAAATTTAGATTATTAGCTATGTTTTGATGCAAAGTTTATTTGTATACCATGATAATAAAGTACTTTAATTAAATTGTGAATGATAACTCATTAAAACCACATGTGCAGAAAAGGATGCCCTAAAGGAAAGAGTTAACTTATAAAAATTACTGCTTTGCACACATGACTTTGTTGTAATTTTTAGATAGTCATTTTGAATTACATGATTTTGGCATTTGAGCTTTCTTTAATTTATTAAACTGAGCAGAATGTAAAAATTTTATAGGTAATATTTTTTTCATTTTGTGGAGCATGTGATAGATATATGTATATATCTTATGATTTATGTAATAACTGTTATATGTGTTAACGTTTTTTTTTTCAGTCCTTACCAAATGAAGTCTGTAGTAGGTTAAAAATTCCAACTGGAATTAAAGGACACACACTTGTTCCTGTTATGCTTCATCATCAGTCCTTTCTATTGCCAGATTTCGTTTCAAAGGGCCAAGATCTACTCATATCTGCCTTACCACCAAGCCATTTTTTGTGGACATGTTCTCAACTTGATATTCTTCCAGAGTCTAACTTGATGGTAGAATGCTCTGTGACTTAAAAATGTGTCAATTTGCAATAGACTTTGTATACTTTTTAAATTATGTAACAATTTATTGCTATAAAGACTGGCAACATTTTTCTTGTTTATTAACATTGTTCTCTCACTCTCTCGTTTTTTTTAATAGTAAAATGGCAGATATTAACTTATGACATCTTAACTGTTATGCCACATACTTTTGTTTCTCCCCAAAAAAGAAAGAAAAACTGTGCTGTGTGTATATATATATATATATATATATATATATCATATATGTGCAGTTAATTTAAATATTCAGTAACAAATTTTTAATTTTCTTAAACTTCAAGTGACAAAATGTTCAACGCTATTCCTAACAACCTTAATATATCTTAACTATGTACATGTCCTAATTCAACATTATTTTGTTGGCAAAACTGATTTATCAACTTTTGGTATTTGGTATATAAATTAGAACATTTTTATTTTTTAAAACAAATTTATTGTACATTTTTCAGTAATTGGTCAAAGAAAATTGTTCCCCCCACTCAAAGGGTGTTTTGGGCTGTGTTCTTCATTAAAACACTATAAATTTTGAGAATTCTCATTTTTATAAACGTCTTTTGTATCTCATTATTTTATCTGCTTAGTATGCTTCAGTCATTTGTTTAAAGCAAGGTACTTGTTCATTGAACAGCAAATTACAATGAATTTTATACATTTAAAGTGAGTCATTGTTGAAGTTCGCATGTGTTTTTTGAGCATGTTTGCGACTGAGAATATTGAGCAGAAGTTGATAATATTTTTGTCCATCACAGTGCTTGGCTTCGCTGTAACAAACTTCATACAATCTCTTAAACATAGACAAGGCTATTGCCAATGGAGTTGCTACTGGTGCACTTGTACTAGAGTTTTTGAGATAGAGAGTCCCCTGACAGAATAATCATCCCTGGAATTCCTCTACCCTCCGCAGAAAATAAAAATTAATATATATATCATGGGGTTGATCTTTAAAATGTGAGTGAGCATGGCATATTTTATCAATGGTCTGTCACTGTACAGTAGAGTTGGTGTCAAGAGTATGTAACTTTGGTTTTAATCAATGGCTTTAAATATTATAAACATTATCATTATTTTAACTTTCAATACATTTTTATTCAGTTGCTGACTTGGATTTGACATGTTATGAAATATGTGAGTAATTACCACACACTAGCTCTTAAGGGAGATCTATATGTTCAATTTGCAAACAAGCCCTCAAATCTGTCATTATGCCTGAAAGTAGACTTTTATGTTTTTTGAAGTGATGCACATATACATGATAAATCTAAAATGCCTATATTAAAGGAAGATTTTTCTTATTTAAAAGGGATATTAATCTTCAGTGAGAGATTGTTTTAACATTCAATGAAAAGTGTTTATTATATGTTTAATAAAGACAAGCATTATGTTAACAGTTCAAAAGATTAACTTCAATGAAAACTAAAAACAGAAATGAATATTGTTCCTTTTTTATTTTATCACTGCAGTGTTGCATCATCATAAAGTTAACATTGTTGAAGAGTGATAATATAAGAATCTTGTAATAAAGATGAGATTATTTTTAAAAGGTAATTTATATTCATTTAGTGACATTAAAAAGTAATTTGGATTTTTTTTTTGTGAAATGTTTTAAAAAATTGATTTAAATTAAAGGTATGTAATTGTTTGGGTCCATAGGGTATGCTTTACAGTGAGAAATATTAGTAGTAGGAATTAATTGGCTAACAAAATGAATTAGTGTCAGAAATTAGCTTTGTAATGATTTAAAAAAAATATTAATGTAATAGCCACACTTGGTAACTATGAGTTAGAAAAATACCCATTTGTCACCACTCTGTGTGCTCTACAACCAAGCCTACTTTCTATACTTTTTTGTTTATATTTCCACTAGTTCCATAACAATTCAATTTATTAATTAAACTTTTGGTATAGAACCTGTAAAAAGGCTTTCTGAAAGTCAATAATTCTTTAACAATTTTAAGTTAAGAAACACCTTTTTTTAAAAAAACGAAAGCATGCAGTGTATTGTACATTAATATTAACTTTTAAGAGATTCCAAAGTATTGCTAATAACAGAAGTAGAACCCATTGGTCCATATTTTTCTGGGTTACTTCAACAATAATGAACAAGTTGACAAGTTTTGGTATCTCTCGTATAATAATAATGCAATGCCACTGACTTGTCAACCCAGCCTGGCATGGCCTGTTGGTTAAAGCACTTGACTTGTAATCTGTGGGTAGTGGGATTAAAACTTGTTGTAGAATGTTTGTTCTTTTAACCATGGGGCCTTATAATTTGATGGTTAATCCAATTCTTTGTTGGCTAACAGTTGGTGATAGGTGCAGCCAGCTGTTTGCCTACTATTGATCAGCAGTTTGAAACTAGACCCCCCTGTGGCTCAGCAGGAAACCTAAAGGCTCATAATGCTAAATACTGAGTTTTGATACTCAGTGTGGGCACAGCACAGATAGCCATTGTGTAGTTTTGTGTTTAACAACAAAACAAACAATCAAAATTAGGAACATCAACAGATTAGTAGTTTGTCATAAACAAACAAAAATGTGTCACCCTGTAAACTGCATTAATCCAGATATAAGACTGGCAGTATGGAAAAGGAGTGGGAGATAATATTATGATATATTATTCATTTGTTACAAAATTGTAAGATAGATTGTCTTTTATTGTATATCAACTGACCTTAACTATTACTTGAACACTGTAATCCATAATTAATTTATTCTATTCAGGAGTGAAAACTGACCAAACTGTGGACTCAGACAAAAATAAAAATTGAGTCTAAAGATTAAGTTTGTAGAAATTAAATGTGTCTTTTTGTGTATACAGTATATACTCATTTTCAGTGTCAATCACCCCACACATCACGAGTTGTGGAGAAGCTACCTACTTTAAGAGTAACTTCCAACTTTCATCTTACTGGAACTTTGTGTAGTCTCTGTTTGCATCAACCCACCTTTTACTTTGTTATTTCTGGAGGCTACTTCCTGCTTTTCATTACCAAGTTAGGTCAAACTATTGTAACTGTAGAACTAATTTCAATCAGTATACTGCAAGTTACCGTCAATAAACCAATTGACTTGTGGACTAATTTCTTTAAATAATGAATTTATTTCATTTTATGCATTATTTTCAGCTGAATTTTACCCTATAAGTCCAGCTAATTCCTGTTTTCTGATGCATTTTTAGCTCTTTGTTGTTCCTTTGATCTGGTTGGGCTTAGGGTATAGTATCCTTGATTAACAACTTTAACAGTCTCAGCTGTAATGGTTATGTTTCCCACATCTATAACAGTTCTCTTTTTCCAACATCCGTTGAGAGGAGTTTTTATTCCATAGAGGCTTTTGTCTGCACTCCTTGGCAATATATCCTTTCAACATTTATTGTCTCATGGTTTATTTCCTCTATTATGTGTAACTAGTTATCTAACCAATGCTTTCAGTTCTTCTAGACTATCTTCAGGAGGAGTTGATGTCTCAGAACTACTTGATATGATTATTCTATTTCTTCATCTCTGAAATAAATTTTCCACCTTTCTTCACCATATTGAGCCAAACTATTGTAACTGTAGAATCAGTGTCAATCAACATATTGCAAGATTTTCCATCATAAAATCTATGGACTTATTATAAACAGTTTTCCTCAAACAATGAACTTTTTATCTCATTTGGAGCAGATGGAGTATTTCTAGGTGACCTTTTTCCTATAAATCTAACATATTCTTATTTTCTTGATGTCTGGCTAACTCTGTTTTATTCCTTTGATGTGGTTAGGCTTTGTCTCATAAGCTTAATGACAGCAGTTTTACAGTCTTGGCTGCAACAATCATATTTCCGCAGTTATAACAGTTCCCTCTTTAAAGTGCCTTCTTAGAGGAGTTCTTATTCCATAGAGGCTTTAATATACAATTCCTTGCAATATGTTTTTCATGTAACACTTGAAACATCTATTTTCTTGTGATCTATTTCCTGCAATCTATTTAAATAGCTGTCTTATTAATTCTTTTAGTTTTTCTAAACTAATGTGAGGGGACTTGATGTTTCAATTCTACAGGATCTGATGATCCCATACTTATAGATGGTGCTTCTAGTTGTTTATCTGTGACTTTAATGGATTCAAGTTCCATTAGCAACTTGAGAAATTTTTTTTTAGAAATGTAAATGTATTTTCCTTCAGCCTAATTCTTATATCCTAGACTGTTATGGCATCTATAACTTGGTCATGTTCCACCAAATCAAATCCATAATTTCACATGGAGCATCCAGATAAGATAATTGGGTAAACCTTTATGAATGTTTCTGCAAGTTCGGCCAAGATATCTCTCTTTGGCACCATGCTCTCGAACTTTGCATATTTACTTCTGGTATGTAACTCTGATCCTGATGGACAAATCAGTTACCAGTATTTGATAGTTGTTACAGCTCTCATCTAGAAGTTACTTAATGTTGTTAAAACTGGCCATTTTAAATGAGCAGCAAGATGAATAGCTTGTTCACTATTCAACCTGTTCACTTTGGGAATTAATTTGAACTGATCCAGATATCCCTTGCATGGTAACTTTCATTATAGTCCACTGGTTTCTTGACTGGATGATGCTGTTGAACTGGCCAGCTAAATTATGGATTTCATTTGGTATTATCATGGCTGGAGTAGTCCAATGGACTTGCAATCACATATTGCAGCAGTAGTGGTAATGGGTGTAAACCAAATGGGCCCTGTTATTCCAAACTTAGTGTTTTAGGTTCAAACTCTTGGACGAATGCAGAAAGAGGTGTGGCTGGCTTGATCTTTGCATTTACTAATTCTTTTTCCAAATATTCTGTCATTGATTTATTTTTGCACCTCACCAATTTTATCATTAAAGCCATTCTG